TCCGTCTTGGGTGGCCCTGCACGGTATAGCTCATGGCTTCACTGAGTTAAGCAAGCCCCTTCGCCACGACAAGGCAGTGATCCATGAAGGGGATTATTATTACTATGATACTTTAAAAATGGAATCCTGCTTTTCACTAAGATATTCACTAATAAAAAGATGAATACCTTATAATATATTGAAAAGTTACATGTGGCCAGGCACATAAATTGGGAAGACTATACTAATTTTGTGATACTGAGGCTCTACTGACAGATTTTTTCAGGAAAATTACTTAAGCTTCTTTTTTTATTTGCTTATCTAGCATTAGAAAAATTATTCATTCACTTTTGAAAAAAAAATTAAAAATCTGATTAGACTTTCCTAAAATGTTGAGAGGCACTGCTATCTCATGTTTTCATCTCAGAATGATTTCTGAGCAAGCAAGAAAGGGCTAGATTTGTTGCGAAGATTTTTTTTAAAAAAATGCATAGAGTAGGATGTTCCTGGAGCGTGGAGCATTTTTGCTGTGGCTCATTATGGTTAAGCTAGTTTCAGTGATTGCCTTGTGTCCTAACTCCTGATCTCTTAAATCATGTCCTCTCTGAGTCAATATTGTATGGGTACAGTTTGTGGCAGTAATAACATTTTAATAACTTTTCTTCACAAAATAGATGAATCTTTCATTGTATGAGATGTGCAATCCATACAGGTAGTCTTGGCTTATGTCCATTTGTTCAGCAACTGTTCAAAGTTATGGTGGCACTGAAAAACATGGACGTACAAGTGATCCTTGAAGTTCCAGCCATCGCAGCACCCTTGCAGTCACGTCATTGCAATCCGGGTGCTTGGGTGTCCAGCTCATGAGTACGACATCGCAGGGAGCTGCGGTCACATGATTGCCATTTGTGACCTTCCCTTCCGGCTTCCCACAAGCAAAGTCAATGGGGAAGCCAGCAGGGAAGGTTGCAAGTCACTCCAGTAAGTCCTTCCTGCTTTGTCTCCCACCTGCAGTACACCCACCCCCACCTGCTCATGGCCTGCACTGGCCCTCCCAAGCCTCCCCCAACTCATGTGCCACCTGAGCCGGCCCTTCCCTGGCCTCCCCTGACTTGTGCGTGGCCTGTGCTGGTCCTCCCAGGGCCTCTCCCATCCCCACATGGCACCCCTACGGTCCTTACCTGGGACTCCCACCTCTTCCCGCTTAATGACCCCCACATCTTGGGGTTACGATGGCAACCAGGACTGCCGGGATTCTCATTGCTAAGCAATGCAGCCACATGATGTCACACTTTATGAGCGCATTGCTTAACGATAGCAATCCTGGTCCCAATTGCCTTTGTAACTTGAGGACTACCTGTAAAAAGAAATTCCCCGGTATTAAATTAAAAAGCATTGAGCAACAGCAACATAGGACTGGTCATTATAGCACTAAAGTAAGAAGATATGAGAAACAGTCTTGTTTTAGCTAAAAGCCTGGAAAGAAAAATAAAGTACAAGAGCTAGCAAATCCCTTTAGGCAAGGCGTTTTCTAAGGGGATACTACTTGAGAAAAGATCTTGCTCCTAACAAAGTCTACCAAGTCTTAATCAGCAATAATACCAGGCGCAAAATGTTTTATAAGAGCAGAGGAGTGCAAATATTATGTTATCTTTCTAAAGCGGGAAGCTCAAAAGACAAGTAATAGTGTTTGTGAGTTTTGCCAGCAAGATAAGATGGAATCAGTTATTAATCTTATCATTTTACTACCATTGCAAAAACATAATTTTGCAGTATCTTTTTAGTTTTATCAAAACTAAAAATTGATTACATATTATTTTTCGATAGATTGAAGAACTGAAGCATTCACAAAAGATAGAAATAACAAACATCAAGCTGGAAACAGCAAGAGCAAAGAGTGAGATAGAAAGAGAAAGGAACAAGATTCAAAGTGAACTTGATGGTAAAATATTAATATTTCAATTATTTAATATAACCAACTATAAATGTTATATTGGGTGGAGATATTATACAGGTAGTCCTTGTTTAGCGACTGCCTCAGACAGTGACCATTCTCTGTTACAACAGTGATGAAAAAGTAACTTTGCGACCAATGCCAGCATTTATGACCTTTGCAGTATCTTTCTCTCTCAGTCATGTGTTCACCATTGCAGTCAATTAGTACACGTCCTGTGCCTGCCCATTTTTTTCCCAACCCCCGCAGAACAGAGAGATTGCCTAAACCAGCAATCTCTTCCTGAGCTGCTTTTCTCTGCGGCATCAGCCATCTGTATGAAGTGCTAACTGCAAGTTAACAAACTCAGCTCTGTGACCTTAATTAGTTGATTACAGTGCTCCTAACTTGCAGCTGCTGCCTGAAATTGACCAGACCCTAAATCAGTTTCACACTAAAGGCTTTTGTTTTCCTCCTAAGCACCTCAAGCTAGGCAAACAGCTGGTGCTAGCTCATTCCTTTGATGTGTATTCCACATGCAAAGGGTAGGGGGTGGTTAAGAGGCAAACAAAAGTTGAAGGTGTGAAACTGATTAGTCTTGTCAGATACAGGCAGCAGCTGCCAGCCCACTATCCCCGCACCAGGGTGAGCATTCCAAAGGGCTGGGGAGTGTGGAAAAGGAAAGGACAGTCGTAGTCATGTGATTTCCCACTTAACGACCACTGCTTAATGACAGCTGCCAGTCCCAGTTGTGGTTGCTAAATGAGGACTATCTGTAGGAGACTGAAGGCTTATAATGAAACTTACATGTGACTATTAGGCAATTATATGTGGGCTAAGTAGGGGTCAATTATATTTTCATAGTGTCTGCATAAAGATTCTAGTATTTTTAAATTATAAGTATTTTTAAATGTATAACAACAGGATTACATTCAGATAATGAAATACTTAAGAAAACTCTTGAGCGGCACAAAGTGCTTTCAGTAGAAAAGGATCGTGAATTAGTACGTAAAGTACAAGCTGCAAAAGAAGAAGGCTTCCAGAAACTTGCAGCATTACAGGAGGAGAAGTATGTACATTTTTTTTTTATGTTTTCTTGTCCAGCTTTTTTAAAAATAAAAACTGCTGCCTAAATGTCTGCCTAATACTCTGATTATAATGCACTGTGCATTCTGTCCTGGCTATAAAACTGATGTTGATTTCAACTGCTGTTGATATTTCTATTATGCTTTTTCGGATTACAGTGCATTTTTAGGTATCCCATTTTGTGCTTCCATATCCTTTTTATAGCCAAAGAAATGTGTTTGCTTGTGTCTGTGTCATCCATGAAGAAACACGTTCAGTTTTTGCTTTAATCCTGGGGCTTTGCCAGCAAGAGATTCTCTGATATATAGAAGTTGTATGTATGAGGGGGACGCAGAAAAACCCAGAATTATCTTCTGGAGGGCGGGCCCCTTGTAGTACAGGCTTCTCCCACTAGGTGAGTGTTCTAGGAACCCATCTGCATCAGCGTACCAGCTGGGTTGTTGTGAGAGGCTGTGTTGGGCTTCAGTGAGTTTTTTTTTAGAGACTCTTTCAACGCGTTTGCCTATTTCGTGATGGGTGATTCGTGCCTCGCTTGCTCACGCCTGAACAAAGAGACAATCACTTGACTGCGTGCTGAGCATTCAGCAGTTTTTGACCAAAAATGGCATGACCCTTGTGCCCCACCCTCCCTGTTCACCCGATCTCACCCCATGCGACTTTTTCTTGTTTCCCCGGATGAAAAAAGTCCTCAAAGGGAAACGTTTTGCTGATGTGGAAGAGGTGAAACAAAAAATGGCCAAAGCACTAAATTTTTTTGTTTAAAATAAGGGAGTCGGCTATTAATCAAACAAAATCGACGAGTTCAAAACCTGTTTTGAGCAGTGGAAAAAACATCTCAATAGGTGCATTGCATCAAATCGAGAGTACTTTGAAGGTGACTGAAGTTTGAACGTGTAAAAATAAATACACAATTTTTTATAAATAAATTCTGGGTTTTTTGGGGTCCCCCCTCATATATGCTTTAGTGTGATGCTGGCATGGTTTTTATGGGATGGGTTTCTGCTCTGTTATGGATATCTGGTCTGCTTATGAGAGCCAGTTTGGTGTAGTGATTAAGGCATCAGCCTAGAAACCCGGAGACCATGAGTTCTAGTCCTGCCTTAGGCACAAAGCCAGCTGGGTGACCTTGGGCCAATCACTCTCTCTCAGCTCTAGGAAGGAGGCAATAGCAAACCACTTCCGAAAAACCTTGCCAAGAAAACCGCAGGGACTTGTCCAGGCAGTCGCCAGGAGTCAATGCTGACTTGAAGCCCCCCCCCCCAAAATGGGTCTGTTAAACATAATATCATTTAAACAACTGCTTTTTACAGCTGTTGACTGCGTTTCAGGTTAGAACTTGAAACTAAATTAACTGAACTAGAGAAGATCAGAATGGAACAAGATACTCAGAGGCAATCAGAGAAGGATCAGTATGAAGAAAAGATTTCTTCTATGCGCTTGGAAGAAGACTCCACTAGAAGGGAAATCCAGAGTCTTAGGTAAGGTACTCTATAATGATTTAATGTATTTAGGAAGTTCTCAGAACTTACCAATTCAGTTACGCAAGATGGGCAGTAGAGCAAGCACTTAGCTTCCAATAAAGATAAAACAGAACTACTACTACTAATGCTATCTGCTTATACAGCACTTTATTAAGTCACCAGTTTTTCTATTACATTAAATTTGATAAAAATAAAAGTTTCTTTGCAGCAATTTCCCATGCAGATTTTGTTATCCATATCTAATTCTCCAACATTTTTATATTTATTTATTTACTTATTTACTTATTTATTAAACAAGTTTATATAGCTGCCCATCTCACCGCAGGCGACTCTGGGCAGTGTACAACAAAGCTAAAAACAGTCAATAAATACATTAAAAATATAAAAAACAAAAGAAAACATTTATTTATTAAACCAATTTAATAATTTATCTGAGGAATACTAAAGAAAGATAAGTACACCTATATTTTAAGTTGTAAGAAGAGCATCTGAATATGCAATGCTGTATTCAGATGTGGGGAGCAAAAATATCTTCAGGGAAACCTAGCATGGAAATGTTCTAAATAGTGAGGAAAAGAGTATTATTTTGTTCTTGTGAAGTACCCAAATGCCACAACTGAATTACATAAGTGTCCACAGTCAGAACAGTTGTGCCTGTAAATAATCCTACATGTTGCAAATAGCTGTGACAGGAAGGATTAAACCTTAGCAATGTTACGTTGTTCTAATGATTGATGAAGCAATATTTATTTTGTTTGCAAGCAAAGTATGCAAATAAAGTTTCTTCATAGCTATCTACCTTGAGTGTGTGGTGATAGAGGCCTGGCCTGAAAGCTAAGCCTATTATTTTGCTGTTCGCATCTGAAACAATTCTTTTTTCTATTAATAGTACAAACAGACCTTTTCTGTGGGCAAGCTCAGTTGCTAAGTGTGGGTGTGTTGTGTCTGGGCCTGGGCCTGGATGGAAGGCCAGTGACATAAAACAAGAGGGGCCTCCGGACTGGGGCTCAGAGAAGGGAGAACTAGGCCGGCGTTCAGGTGAACTTTTTTGGGGTTTTTTGCCCTTAGCTTCTCAACAGAACCCCCTCAGTTCTGCTGACATCTTAGGCTTCTGCAGAACCCAGTCTGAAAAAGCTTGCTCTAGGTATTCACTTGTACTTCTTTGTTTTGCTCAGTTAACAACATCCCATAACATTAAACGATGTCCAGTTAATACCAGCAGTATTTCAAGCAACATCAGTAGTACGTAGCTTCTACTTCTTGACTGCTTCTTCTCAGCAAGCACTACATTTGATGCTCACTTGCTGGCTATATTCCAACTCAGCTGCCTCTCTCTCATCCTTACAGGTAGAGACACATTTCAGTCACTTCAAGTTAGACAAAGCTATAGAGGCGAGTATTTTCGGCAAATAAGTGTTCATTAGGGAAGCTTCTTTAGCAACAGAAATCTAAAAAAGGATGGTCTTTTTCTTAGTCCTTGCATAACAGGATTCCCCCTACACAGCAGATAATGTAAGAGGAAAGTAAGCGGATGGACATTACTTCATGTTCTCAGAACAATTAAAAGGAAAGAAAGTTGATGAAATTTGACATTGCAGTTCATAGTAAAAAATCATTCTCAGAAAATCTGAGTAGCACACACACTCAAATTAGCAACCAACTTTCCTCTCTGGAGTGTTCTCTCCCAATCCTTACCCTACATATTTCCTTCTAACTAACCTCTAATGAAAGAATGACTTCATTCATTTTTGGTGGAACTGCCATTATGCAAAGACAGAGGAAATACAGTTCTACCTTATTCTGGTCATATGGACTATTGATTGCGAAAACAGAGAGTTGCAGTGCAGCCAAAGATCTGGCTGATAAATTTCAATGACTATACAGGATCAATTTCCCTCCAGATCCAGCCTATTTTCTGGCCATTGTGAGATGTTTCTATATTGGTGGCTCCTAGCATTATGCAACTGCAAAAATGCAGTTGTCCTTCTATGTTTGGAGGGAATGGATTATAAGCTTCATGTATCCGTGCATTACACAATGTTCCACCCATAGAAAATGGCATGACATAATGGTGGTTTTGGAAAAGAAGCAATTCACCTGATCACAATCCTTTTAGAGCAGTTTTTAGATTTTAAGTTATTATATACATGCAATAGCAACTAGTGTATATGTGTACTGCATGCGCCTCCTAGTTAGTAAGATGTAGGTGATAGTTTTTGGCTTGCAAAGTAGCCTTTAGATTAATGATCTTAGTTTGAAGCATGAACATGCTTGGCATAAAACTGTACTTTGGTTGTACCAGCCAAAATATGCCAGAATTGACCAGTATTGTATTCTTACTGCCTGCAGGGAGTACTTCATGAGTGCAGCTAAGGCTGGTAAACTTTACTGTCTTACTAAAAAGCAGTAGGTGAATGCCTACGTTGAGCAAAGCCATGATGAGTAGTGGATATCAGTATTCATGAGCGCATCTAGTGCTGAACATGGCATGTGGAAAATTGCAACTTGGAATAAGAAGAGTATAAAGTAAAGAGCATGGATAAATTAATGAAATGGAAAAAGAACAATAAGTTGTATATTTGTGGAGCTAAGAGGGAGAGGAAGGATATAATAGATCTGAATAAAGATGGCCTGATACTGTGGAGTGGAATTGATGAAGTGGAAGTGATGGTAGAAGTTTAATTTTTTTTAACAAAGGGGGTAGTATGTATGCCAGAAAGTATGAATGTGTGCCACCTAAATGATTGTGGGTGCAGATGAAAGTAAAAATTCATAGGCAGGTGATAGTTGCATTCTCCAGTGAACAGTGATAATGAAGGAACGAGGAATTCGTTTTGAGGAAAATTGTAGAATTCTCAATGAATGTGAGCACAGGAGTTTTTTTGTTAGGTGACATGAAAGGATGGATGAGAATGAGACAAGTGGTGACAGAAAAAGTAATTGGAGTATTTGGAGACACAAGATTTATATTGAATGGTGACTTCTGGTGAGTATCTGCATAAAGATCTGCTTGTTTTAAGTTTGCAGCTTAGGCATAAGCCTGTTTATGCATACACATGGCAAAGGAATGAATTGAAAAGCATGACTGATTTGATTGTTTATGATGAAAGACTGAAAGAATTAGAGAGAGGTTTGAATGTGGGACAGGCCATTATTTGATGTCAAAAGGGGGTACTTGGGGAATGGACATGGAAGGATAGGAAAGAAGTAAAAAAAAAAACCAGAGTGAAAATAAAATTACTTCAAGAAGAGAACATACAGTAGATGATGATATAAATCCTGTATGAAAAAGTCCTAGAAGATAGATTAATTTTCCATCAGAATCAATGGAATGTAGATGTAAGAAAAGAGGATATGGAAGCTGCTTGGAATAGAGGGAAAAGAATTATGTTATGAAGTGCCACAGAAGTCTGTGGAGTTAGTTACACTAATGGAAGGTATGAAAAGGAATACGAAGTGGAATGGTGTTGTGAAAAAGACTATGAATGAAGAGAAAACATATACAGGTAATCCTCATTTAGTGACCACAATTGGGAGTGGCAACTTGATCGCTAAATGAAGTGGTCACTAAGTGGAAAATCATGTGACCATGACTCTGCTTATGATTTTACTTCAGCGTTCCTTTTTCCCCACTCCCCCACCCTTGGGAATGCTCACCCCAGTGCTGAGATAATTAGCAAGAAGAGAATTAATGTTTGTATTTACATTCATTGGAAAAGAAGGGATTACAAGAAAGTAAGCAGGCAAACAGTGGGGAATACACAACAAAAGGAATGTGCTGGTGCCAGCTGTTTGCCTTAGCGTGCTCGGGGCTGGGAGCCTCGAGTACACTAGGGAAACAGCTAGTGTATGTGCCTGCTTACTCTCTTGTAATCCCTTCCTCTCCAACCTCTCCACTCTGCAAGGGGGGGAAAAGAAAAAAAACGGGTTAGGCATAGGAGAGATTGCAGGCAATCTCTCCTGCGCCTCACCCATTTTTTTTCTCACCCCCTTCACAAAGCAGAGAGATTGGAGAGGAAGAGATTACAAGAGGATAAACAGGCACACAATGGGGAATACACCAGCTGTTTGCCTCACAGCTCCCAGCCCCAAACACACTAGGCAAACAACTGGCGCCAGTGCATTCCTTTCTATGTGTATTCCCCATTGTGTGCCTGGTTACTCTCTTGTAATCCCTTCCTCTCCAATCTCTCTGCTCTGCAAGGGGGGAAAAAATGGGTCAGGCACAGGACCACTCATACTAACTGACTATAATGGTGAACACGTGACTGAGAGATGCTGCAAAAGTCATAAATACACGCATTGGTTGCAAAGTTATTTTTTCAGCACCATAGTAATTTCAAACGGTCACTGAATGGGGCAGTCGATAAGTGAGGTCTACCTGTAAGAGAATGATTGCTGCAAACAGAAGATTAGGGAAAGATAATGAATATAGAGAGAAAAAGTAACAAAGGATATAGCGGAAAGAAAGGTTAAAGATAACAAAGAATATAGAGCAAGGAAAGATTAAGGATTAAAAGTGGCAGTGAAAATGCAAAGAGATTTTGATGGAAATAAATCCTGGTGAAAAAGTAGTGGGTAGTATGTTTTACATTGTGAGGAATTAATAAGAGAATACTTCTGCCCAGAGGTGGGATGTTGACTGTAGGTTATGGCTGCCATCTTGACTTCCCACCC